TGGATTCATATTCTGCCTTTCTTCCACAAGTGGGATTCTTTTCCAAAAAGGGATGTAGGGTCATAGTTCATTGGGATGTAAGGTTTATGGTTAATGATTATTATTAATTATTTATTTCATTTTCATGCTGCCTTTCTCCGAAAAAGGGACCCAGGGCAGCACTCACAAGATGAAAACATTTTTAAAACTTTACAATAAAAATTTAGCAACAATTAAAATCATCTAGTTGAAAGAGTATAAAACTAACATTTTATACTCTTTGGGAACCCATAAAAACATACAGAAATTAAAAACAACTTCATCCCTTTATCCCAATGAGCCATGATCCTTACATTGTTGCCTAAATTTAGAAAGCATATTAAGGGGGGGGGTTCCCCATAGTTAAAGGCAACTGCCCTGAGGAAAGTTTATGTTAACCAAAAGGACACGCTTAGCATCTACACCAGGGGTAGGTAACCTAAGGCCTGGGGGCCGGATGCAGCCTCCTGAGGGCTTTGGACCAGCCCCAGGCCGGTCCTGCCACCGCCACCACCGCCGCCACCCCCCGCTGCCCCCCGATGCTGCTGACGCCTGCCATGATGATATTGATTATTGTTGTTGTTACTTGTTCTTGGGGTTTACTTGGCAAAATCTCCACAGGGGTTTTGCCATGGATTTTCTGGGGCTGAGAGAGTGTGCATGCATATTTTTTTATTTTTAAAAAATATTTTTATTTTTATTTTTTTTTATTTATTTATGGTGCTTCAGCCCCCCAATTGTCTGAGGGACAGCAACCCGGCCCCCGGCTCAAAAAGGTTGCCTACCCCTGATCTCCACCTTTTTCACATGTGTTTAATCCATGTGAAACACCCTGAGTTCCTTTACCCTTAATCTCAAAGCTAGGTGACATGTTTGCTTTGACAATGAATCTCATGTTTAGATTAGCATGTGGTGCTATTTTGCAATCCTCAATCAACTCCGAGTAAGAGCTGCAAGAGGAGGGAAAGAAAAAAAGTAATCGATGCATTTCAAATCCCCCTAAACTGGGTGTAGTTCTATAAGCCTGACTTTGGTTTGCTATTCAGAGTTCTCTATTTACACAAAACAGCCAAATCATTCAGGTGAATGAATGGGGGGAGGGGGTAGTTGCTCATGAACCCAAAATCCAGATTTTAAATACCCCAGACTACATGTTTGACATAGTCATGAAATCTCATCTTCAAGATTAAAAAAGAAAATCACTCTTTCCAGTGCATACAGCCTTTCTGGAAACAGCAGAAATGTGTGATAATCTCAGCTGACAATGATAAAGAAGTAACCCTTTGCATCCTGAAATAAACCATAATCCACCATGAGTCAGTTGCCTTTACATCTCTGGGAATGAGCTCTTTCAGTTGCTATAAACTTTGTACCAAACCTAAGCTGTTTGTATAGTAGGGCACTGTCCAGTGCATCAGCCATCACCAGCTACTGTAGAAATAGTCCTGAAAGAACAATGTAATGAACTTTGCCTCCCCCCCCCCCCCCCCCCCCGTCTCCCAGCTATATCATACTCCCACATATTCAGATACGGTTCCATGGGCAAGTCTAACACTTCAGTTTGGGTCATGTGCAACCATCTTGCAACCACACATCTTCCAATGCTACCCTCTGGACAATCACCAATGCTACTTCCACATCCTTAACACAAAAAACAATTCAAGTAGGTGAGAGAAGGAGAGTTGGAGAAAGATCAATTTATCCTTGGCTGTGCCTCCATCTTTCCCTGAGAGAGCCTTGAAGTGGCCACTGTGTCAAGGCAGGCTGCTTTGGCAGTGGGCAAGAGACATTTTTATAGGGCTGCCCCACTGAGCAAACTACACTATGCCATCCAGCCAAGTGGTATGGGTCCATTTCCCACACCTCAGGAGCCAGTTGCATGGTGAAATGGGGTCAGACCTTTATGGATTACAACACCTTGGATCCTCCCAGACAGCAAACCTAGTAATGTTGCAAACAATGTTTAAGCAGCAAAGCAGCATCATTCTTCTCTTTGTCAAATGTATATTACAAATTACAAATTCAAGTTCCACAGTGTAGCAGTGGCGATGAAACAAGAAACTGTGCAGGAAGACTGGCACTGCCAGGAGCCTCAGCCCACCCTGCACAAGCTTAGCATTGCCACCTTGTTCTTCCATTCCCTCCCTGTTTGCCCTGACAGGCCCAGAAAGTGGGAAAGGAAAGGAGGCAAGCAGAGATGGCCTTGTGTTTTATGGTGATTGTGTCAGTGGCTTGAGTGTGGTGGAGCTTCACTTTTAAACAGCCTCCAGAGAGTAAAGGGGGTCCCTTTACTCTCTAGAGCTGCTTGGAAACCTCTCTTTCTTCATAACAAACCTGGAAGGAAAAAAAGGAGGGGGGGGGAGAAGAGCTCTTAGCTTGATACTATATTTAGGGGTAGCCATGTTGGCCATATAGCTAAGTACAATAACATCAAAAATCCACAAAACAGTGATAATTTTATTCGGCCAACAAAAATGCACAACATACACACTGAAGTTGAAGCATAATGGTAGAAAAAGTGCAATGATTAATTATAATAATTTGGATAATATGCCAATTAGATACCTGAATATGTGGGCCTGGAATTTGGCAACCCTAATGCAAGAGCTGGTTGCACACAGTTTCCTTCTTAGAACAACTCCACTAGCTTCCAGACAAAGGATTTTCAACTGTAAATGAAAAACTTTAAATTAGGATATAGAGCGGCTAAAGTCCCAGGAAAAATTGTCCAACAAAGCAAAAGTAGTGAAGAAAGTTTTTTCAATTTCTCTAGATGAAAGTTCACAAATATTTCTAGGGAACTACAACTGTAGTAAATTGTGGGCTAGCACAGTCAAATTCCAGTACATTGACATGAGATTTAGAATGCTGTTGAATAATTTGTCCTCAGTTGCTCCTGAAAGAGAGTACCACAT